AGCAGTTTCCAGTACGCTTATCTCGAGAACTTTTCCCACGCCATGCAGCACAGCGTTAGTATTGTGATCAGTATTCGCCCGTTAAAATTAGCGTTTTTGTACAGATTTGCATTATTACAAAACAATTCCCATTCTGAGTTGTATTTTTAGAAGACGTTGCCTATCTACCTAATTATATGCTGCTTTACGCGCTACTTTATTTGCTATTGAGTTTATAATACAACTGTTACTTATTAAAGATATTGAAGTCACGTTGATTACTTCAAATTTCAGATGACCCCCTGGAAACTAATAATTTATACAACGATCCTGCTAAGCAAGAAATTATCAATGAAATGAAGCAGCGCCTTGATGAGTTTAGAACAAGTGTGCCTCCATTCTGGTTCCCCGGAGAAGATGAAAGTGGTAACCCAGATAATTTCGGCGGTGCGTGGTCACCTGGCTGGTGTTAGACTTTGCTTTTGATTATACAATCGATTGTCATGGTAAAACTAGTTAAAATATATACGGACGGGTGTTGAAATAAATTATCCTGGGAAACGTATTATTTCTGGGGCCGATTATAATGAATAATTTTTCCGAAACATGCAATAGAAGAAACCCTAAAATAACGCTTTATTACACATAAATACATTTATTATCTCGTCTTTGGAAGGTTCGTGTAATTCAAGATTGTTATTCATTTCAAGATCTATATAATATTATTAAGATAAGATGATGTAACCTATCAATTTTAGAATAAAGTTAGTAATTCTATTACATTGATATATCCAATTGAACTTGCTTCATACCTTGATCAGCGCCTTAAATTCGACTTTGGAGTCAGCTTTCTGCCAGAATGTATGACAGTAACCCTGACGACAATGAGAAATGATGGTCAGTGGCCTCCTATGTATTTAACGATAGATAGTTTTCTTCGTGCAATGATATTATGCTATGATTACGTCACACAAAATTCAGACAAGTCTGAACACCGCGAATGAAGAATATTCTTGAAAAACGGTTCAGATCAAACACAACAAATTATGTTTGCAGTTCTACATGCTGCGTTAAATTGTGTGAAAGGGAACAGTATTTTATTTTATTTACTCCTCCGACGGTTACACAATGTTGTGAATCGTCGTACATATTTTGGTCTGGGGGAACTGTAAGGGGGATAAAATAGTAGGTAGATATCTACTAAACTTTTTTCAACATGAATACAAAACTTACTTGAGTCATCAAACGTTCCCTGTATAGTATTTATGAACAGATATGTTTCATACTAATAATTATAGTGATGTATGTTTGTCAATTTGTGATGATGTATGTATGTATGTATGTTCGTAAGTATGTGCATGTTCGTTGTCTGATCGTCATGAATGTGGTAGCGGTTTGGAGTTAGCGGCGATCCCTGTGGAGTCTACATATGATGTTGCGAATCATGGAGCCTTGTTGCATATGGTCGAAACTGTATTGTTTGTAGATGAGATAATGTTCTGGTAGCATAGTGGTTGTCGCGTCAGGCTTATGACCGGTAGACCCAAGTTCAAATCCTACCTTAGACTTAACATCAAAAGGGTCGACCCCTGCCCTGGGTGAGTGTGCCACAGACTCAACGAGAAGGCTTAATCCACTGGCCGAGATTCATTCACTCACGAATGCGACTTTGGGGCAACCTTGGTTAAGGTCCGCAGGTGCTTGTGTTCGACCAAGCCTGGTTGACGCTAGGATAGCACATTAAAATATTGTCATTTGATAGAGAGATGTCCCAATTATGAATATGACTTTGAATATGAATATTGCACTATGTGTCAGCACTTTTCATATACAAAAAAGTCAGGAGAGAAAACAGTGACATTCAATGTCCGGAACTGTCGCCTGGCACAAAAACATATTTAAAAAAATAGAGATAAAAAAGGAATAATGTTCTTGGTGTATTATAACTGATATAGGCCGTTCATGCAATTCAGCGTCCAAGAGTTTTTATTTACTGGTAATTCGCTGAATAATGTAACCTAAGCCAAGAGAAAGAGATAATTGGACGTGTTGATGATTATTGAAGGTAATACCTGAAAGTTAGAAGTATTACTTAAAGTGGGTGGGTCGTCATCTGCACACGCGTGAGTCCCAAACGACGATAAACAACACACGCTACAAGCCCAAAGGTTCATCGGTAGACGCTTGTTTGTAAACAATGGCACGCTACGACCATCTGACGATTCCCCCGCTTCAATTGCACCTGTTATTTATTATATTGTGCTAGGGAGCCCGACCTCATTAGCATAACATGCGGACCTCATTGTAAGCTGAGGCGAAGTTACTCACATACGTAACGGATGTTTATTGACCCTGCTGCATATCAACATCACACAGTTCATCAACGGTTTTCATTTGTTCAAAGAAATATGGTGTCGCTGTCCGTAGTCATTAGATATGTTGCGATCACGTCGTGTGTATGCAAATGGACGCACGCGGATGTGAACGTCGAGCCCTACAATATAAGTATTGTCCTAAATCAGGGCAAGTCTGATACGGCGACCATGAACTGCGCACTTTGGAGTACGTGGTTCGCAGACGGGTGGACTCTAAACTGGATGAAAAACGGAGATGCAATAAGCACGAACGAAGAGCTACATACGACATCGCCAATCATCGACGTCACTCGGTATTCTTTACAAAACGTCTCTGCTGGATTGCCAGAATGTAATTTACGCATTACAAACATATCTCAACGACGGCGGCTTTTGACAGCGGTCATTACTGGTACGTGCTATATGATGAAAAGGGCGTAGTTGTCTTTACGTCCAGGGAGGCGTATTTATACATATACGCAGAACCGAGCCAGTATGGCCCCAATTGTCAGCTGCCCGGAGGCAACGGAGTTGAAGTCGGTGATACTGTGCGGTTGGCGTGCCTCAGTGAGTCGACTGGTTATCCCCAGGTTTCTCAGCAATGGTTCATAAATGGAACAGATGAGAATGACATTTATTTGCATGCGGAAGATGCGGAGGTCAGTAAGAATGGAACAGTCTCTACCGAATATATATGGAAAGTAGAAGATGCAGATCGCGATATCGGGTTTTACTGTGAAGCATCGAATCCAAGGTGGCCTATGAACTATACTTGCAATATCGAGGTGGTGATATCATCTGGGAATTCCCGCTTTTTAAGTCGAATGACCTATTTCTACTCATTCATAGAGTGGGGTCTACCGATTTTTGCATACAAATTATTGTTGTAAATTATTCTTGGTTAGTGTTATGGTGTTTATTTCATAATGTTTAGGCAACACATTTCCGTCACTTGTCTTTTAGTAGTGCTTTATTTTTCAATACTTTAATATTAAAGGCGCACCGTTGGTTTTTGAAAAAGTTCTTTACTATTATCATTTCATAAAATGCAGGATTGACTATTATACAAGCTGGAAGAGATAATGTGCAAAAACAAAAACAAAAATATGTAGGTAAAGAAACAGAACAAATTTATTATAAAAATACATACTAGATAGAAAAAGCAAAAAAAATACATCAATATAATCATGACAAAAATGAAGCTCAAAACAAGGGTAAAAACCCAATAATTTGCGCAGTATTTTTCAACCATGCTTTATATTGGTCAACCTGTAATCAACTAGATTCACTCCTTAAATAGTATTGCTTTCATGAGCTGAGAATGAAACAAGAAGTCGCTTGTTGAAGGTTTTATTATTTAACAATGAATGCAAATTGGGAAGAGTAATAATTTATGTGTGGCAATACAGCGCTTATACCTTAACAATCACTGAATCAGTTGATCAGAAACTAGAGAACAGAAATATTCAACGTTAACAGCATTCTATATTTAAGGCAACTCACCAATTTTATTTGCATTGGTAATTAGTTCATTTTCAAAAAAATATTACTTTCCCATTAGGTGGCTAATTTTTCATGTATATTACTGTTTTAAAAAACAATGTATTTTAACCAAACACGAATAATACAAATAATAACAAAGTATAAACATTAGCAACATTAATCGGGTTTTCTTTTTAGTATAGGAAGGCACTCATTGTGTCTCGAGTAGGTAGATGTCACGTGGTATCAATGCTTCGATATTTCAAAACATCTTTATCTCATAATTAGCACAAAAACTTGAATAGTGAGGCATAAACACT